TCAGCAGGAGCTCCCTGCTGTGGAGATAAACTAGGTAATAGACCACATATTCGGGCTTTGCAGTAGTCTTTTCCACGCAAAATATGTCCGACCACTGCAGGATAAACCCTTCTAAGTGTCATATTTCTCCTAAGAATGCTTTATCCACAAATGCTAAGTTCAGCAGATGTAAAAGCCAGGTTACCGAGACAGCATCAGCCTATGGAGTGTTAGTTCTGAAGTTGCCTCGCAAACCTAAAGCAGGATGGAGAAAGCCACGTGCCGGCAAGTGCCTTCTCCATTCAACAGAATAGCTAAACATAAGGTGTGGTGGAAGTTGCTTGTGGCTCTGTGCAAGCAGAGCGCAGCACAAGCCTTTCTTCCTCTCAAAAGCGGGTTTTGTATTACCAGCACCGCCATATTGAACTGAAGAACTATGGCTGGTATTTTCAAATTGGTGTAAAAGAATGGTGTCTAGCTTTGCATTCAAATCTGGTAGGAGTTATGGGCCTGGGCCCACTGGAACACACTGAGAAGAGTAGAGTCCTCTTTTTTTTTTACCTAGAGAAAGCCACAGAAGGAGCCAGCCCAACTTGGGAAACCTGACCGTGGTCCTCTAGCTCAAATGCCAAGGGCTTGTGCCCCTTGCTGTGGAGGTCCCAGTTTCAAGCATGGAAATCTGACAAATGACTTGGGGAGGTGGCAAAAAAGAGAAAAGTCTTAGGGTATTGTCACAGCGGTGGCATTGTATTTTGTTGTTGTAGAAATCATAGATTTGAAAATGTCTATATACCAAAACCAGCGTCTGTTTCCTACTACTAAAATAGTCAACCTATTTTAAAGAAAAAGTCTTTGCTGAACTCCATCTAATGTTGGCTTCATCTTCTTTCTTCCTGGTGAGTATTTGTAGAAGTAAGTTCGTAATTCACAAATGGTGAGAAATGATCTAATGCAAAATATGATCTTTAAAAACCAACAAAAAGTAATCAATGAAATCATCATTCTTAGAGAGGAAGTACTGTGAAGTGCTCCATTTTCTATTCCAAGATAACCATTTATCCACTGTTTTCTAATTATGGACTCATTTAGGTGGTGTTAACTCACGCAAGCAATATTGACCATGAGAGACTTCCTATCTGACACAATAGAATTGAAATGAACTCTCTGAATGGGATTTCAATTAAGCAGTCGAGTAGTCAATTAAGGCAATATCTGAATCATTGCCAGGCCAATGTGAGGAAATGCTTAATGTTCATCTTGAAAAACTGTACCTGCCCACTGTGTTGTGTGTGTGTGCATGCACATGTGTATGCATGTAGGGGCCAGTTCTAGCAGCATCACCCGTTTGAAAATATTTATATATGTTAACAGTTGTCTGTGGACATTTTAAGTAGTTTCCCAGATTATAAAGCCAGAAGGACAATTATACCAGAGGAGCATAATACAGGATAATGGAGCTTCTTGCATGAAATTTAGTTTGAACAAGAAGATCTTTCAGAAAGCATTCATTTGATTTGGAAATGGTCAGTTGTGGAGAAACAAATTGTGGTATGTTGCTTCTGTCATAATTTGTCTGTGATGGTTTTGCTTCAGTTTCCAGCCGTTGCTTTTCTGTAGCTTGCAAAACAGGTAGGAGGAATCTGTTCTGTTACAGAGTTTACTGCTCCCTTCCTATGAATACTTACAGTCTGAGATCAAAGTACATTTTATTTGTGCACCTGAATAAATAGCATTTCTTGAGTTCCCTGATATGACTCTGGTTTCCCAGTTCTTGAGTCATCCCCCAGCTCTCCTCTGGAGCCTGCCCCGTTTGCCAATAGCCCTCCTGGATGGGGAGCATCAGACCCAGCCTGTCTGGGCAATTCTTATGCATGTCAATGGGACTGCACACTCTCCCTGCAAGGTCTTCTCTGTCCCCCGCCTTGGCAAATTGACCATTAACCCTTTGTGCAGCAGCATCACAGCAGGAGCTTCAGGTCATTTGCAATGCAGGGTATATTCCAAGGCACCGCTTCCAAGGATGGAGCCCATTGCAGTGCTGTGATGTGTTGCTTGATGGGTATCCTCCAGTATTTCTGTCTAGGGATTCCTGAACGACATATGTGCACATGCAACCCTGTGCTGTCCAGGTAGTACTGGACCTTCTGAGCACATGTGGGATGCTGCAGCCTCTTTGCAGAAGCTCACAGTTGGCCTGGGCAGGTACACTGGCACCTTGGGCAGGATTTCTACATCCACTACAGCCTGGTAGTCCTGGATGAAGCCCTCACCCCAGTGGTTTCTCCCCTTGTTGGTTATCCTTCCTTCAATGTTTGTGGTAGCAGCACATTTCAGTAGTGAAGATTGTAAGAACGTATCACAGACACTGGTAAGGAGATTAAGTTGCATGAGCTCTGGGGGACTCCACTTGATAGACATCACCCAGTTATAAGTACATTTCAACATCTATTTAGTTGGCAAATTTTAGTCTTTATTAAGTGTACTGTTGAAATCTGATTTTGGTAACATTCAAGTATTTGGGTAGTGAAACCTCTTACTGTTGCATAGGTGCATTTCAGGTGTCTTTGAAATAAAAATGAGACCTTTCTCCAGATGTGAGTAATTATACACATAGCTGTGGATACAGCTTGATCCAGACACTTGGCAAAGTAGCGGTGAGCAGTGCCATGCTAGGAGGACTGAGCAGCCTCTCTGCCCTCTTGGCAGAGCATGGTGCTGGTGGGGCACTGGACTGACTCATCTCTTTGGGCTTCAGGTCTAAGGTGGCTCCCACAAACTCAAGCCAGAGCGTCTCTGCACCTTGCTTCCCATCCAAAACCACCTCATGAGGCATCGACATGAGGGAGCTTGAATGCTTCAAGCCTTTCAAAACGCTGGTGCTCAGCACCAGTGCAGCCACCTTAATGGCCCATCCTTAATGAGAGACTCTGCATGCACCAGAGCAAGAACCAACACAGCACAAACATGCAGTCTGGGCACCTTAACTCCTATGAGCATTTCCACTGAGTCAAATCAGTACTGTTAATGTTGAAGAATCATAAACTCAGAGCATTGGCTGATTTTTGAGTCTAACCAAGTACGCTACTTAAGCCCTGCTCCTTGCAGGTGCTTGGGGTAAGCCATTAAGAGTCTGGATAAACTGCAGGGCTTGTAGGATATTAAGGTTCAGAAGTGAAAAAGCTGTTGGTAGGAGTAACTGAAATGATGTCACTGTAGAAGTGGTCATCAAAAAGGCACCTCACAAAATTTCATTTTTGGAACAAGAAAATTCAAAGAGATTTGAAAAAGTAACATCTAAATAAAAATAGTTTAACCAGCTATTAAAAAACCTCTTCATTTTACAATGGTGGGTTTATTTCCACTTTCTCCCATTTCCTCATTTTCCCTTTTTGCTCTTAGGGAAAATGGAAGAAAGGTGATTTGTTAGTGGCTCTTTTTATAGAGACAGAATGAGTTTAACACACTTCCCAGTACTTGTTTGTACTTTTAAAAATATTTTTCCATGTAAAAAACCCAACCAAACAAACAACAAAAAAAACAACCGGAGTGGCTTCCCTTCCCGGCCCCCTTGCAATTTCTCCCTGTCCTTTTGTTTCCTCTTTTACAAGTGTTTTTTCTTCAGAACACAGTAATTTAAAGCCTCATGTTGAGAGGTAGTTTAAATGAGTGAATGTCTTGCTGTTGAACTCCTGGTTCAGATTTGCAACCCAACACTTTCCACCTCTCTACAAGGGTGGTGAAAGCAGATTTTGTGAAATTCCACAGATCCATAGGATTTGTAATGACAAATGCACCATTTCCCCAAAAGTCTACAAATCTTTTACTTAAATTTATAACTTTGTACAATTACTTCCAATAGCTCAATTCCTTAGAATTTTTCCCCACCTATCTGAAATAGTTTTTCCTCCTTGTGGTTAGTAGAGTGGATAATTTTCACTATGGAAAAATTCTGCTTTCATCTTCTGATTTATCAGAAATTCTAATGGTTTTCTTTTGTTGTTTTTGCTGAATGTGTCAGCTACAGTCTTTTGCCATGTTTGCCATTTTTTAGAGACTTTTTCAATGTATTCATGACATATCCTTTGAGCCAAATTCTCATGTGGAATACACAGACGCATTTCTGTTATTTCAGAGGACTGGATTACAGAGCTCTTAGTTTATAATTCAGTGTCATATGCATCAGTGACTGTTAAAGTGGGTTTTTCTTCTATAAGAATAGAGTATCTGATAACTTCTCTCTATAACAATGAAACAACCCCCACCCCTGTAGTGAAATACAGACATATAATAATTCATTACTTAAAAAGCTGCTTCTTACCTCATCTGGGACTTGTGATGTCAAACACAGTTTCACTGCAGCTAAAAAAGCCAAAAAGAATAAAACAACTGGATTTTTTTCCATTGTGAAGAATTTGTTGGTTTTTTTTTCTCCTTCAGAGCCCTCCAGACATGAGAACTGATATTCTGACGTAAAGTGATCGTTTGTTAGAGGTGCTATTTCTTCTGCATTCTTAGGCGAATAGTTTAATAGGGCTCTTGTCTTCCTGAAGGAAAATGAGTGAAGGATACGGCATGCGAAGCTTGCCCGCAGGCAGGAAAAATTCCAAAACGCAGGGTATTTGCCGAAAGTTTTCACTGCAAAGCTGAATAAACCCTTCCTAACTGAATGACAGGATATCCTGACCGGGCTGTGTTCCTTTACCCCTCTCTCTGAAGCTGTTGACAGTACAAAACCAAGGACACTGAACTGTTATGATAGAAGATGTTTTCTTCTTTTAGGTGGGCATGGACAGGGGACTGGAGTAACTGCTGTGCCTGTTATCGTTACATTTGTTCAGCTGATCTAAGGCAGAGCAAAGGATCTCTGGAAGTTGGCTTATCAGCCCTAGTAACGTAAGGGTGGGTCCCCTGAATGTGGTTCTGGGAGAAATACTGCTGACTTTATCTCAGGAGGCCAAAAGAACATCTTCCAGCTTTGGTTAGCTGGATAAAAAAGGGGATTTTTGTTTGGTTGTTTTTTGTTTGGTGGTTTTTTGGTTTTTTTTTTGGTTTTTTTTTTTTTTTTTTGTTAAATCATTTTCACTGATTTCCTGGAACTCAGCTATGTTACTTGCATATGGTTAGGAGGGATGAGTAGACAGACAGACATTTTGAGTTGCCCAAATCAAAATTGTTTCTCTTTCTTCTCAGAGCTCTTCAGCTCTTTTCTAGTGCTGCTCTTTGCTGCTGCTCTGGTCAGTCTTGTAAGGGCAGCCTCTCTCGTGTCTTAAATAGCTAATAGTTTGGCTGCCTCCAGTTTAGCAGCTTTGCTTTGTGCCCCTGACATAATTTTTTAATCATTTGAAGGCAATCCATAAGCATGTCTTAATACAAAGTTGCATTTGAAAACTACGGTATGTTTTTGACTGAAGAATCCACAG